AATTAGGAAGAAAACCTCTCAAACTCAGACACAAAGGCAGTAGTACAGTTCTCAGAATAAAGTAATTTCATAACCTCATTGTATTCCTTCCACAGTCTGGGCTTGGTATAAGAAATTAACTTTATTATTAACAAGATGCATTCAAAGATCTTTGTCAGCACAGGCATCATTAGTGCTACAGTTTCCTGCTTTGCTTCAAAAATCCACGGGAAATCTGCTGAACCCACAACTTTTCTATGTCTGCTTTGGAGAAGATAGCTCACAAATCCCCTTTCCACCACTGCACTGCTATTTGGGAGTGAATTTCCATGAAGGGCCACGTTGCATATTCAACAGCTGGCTGAAAACTGCCTTCCTCCACTGCTGGTAGGATTTTTCACTTGTTCTATTTACAAGTGAAATGAAGTGCATCAGGGCCTTGGGTCCCAGATCTTTATTCCTCTACCACTGGGATTTACACAGGCTTCTTGTTTAACTCTCTCATGACAGAAAACTAAAACTGAATGAAAGGAGTTGACAAAAAAGCCCAGAGTTTTTCTTAGGTTTTTGGATCCCAGTACATGTGACAACTTGTCACATATCCATTCAAAAGATAGAGACTTTGGAGGGCAAAGTAGGAGCTGATCTGTAGGGAATCACTTCATCCTGGGTGCTTTCTGAGCAGAGGTGACACAGAATGACTGGGATTGCAGACACCAGAGAGAAAACCCAGTGCTGTAAGCAGCTTCTTAGCACTGACGCAGCTGGGACTATGTTCAGAGACTGCAAAGTAAACCCACATTTATACATCGTCTCATGGAACTCATTAAAAAACCCAAAAAACAAAAACCAAACACTTCCCCAAGGATTACCTTCTTCAGGTGAGAACACAGAGTTTCTGAAAAGCTACAGACTCCACTAGCTGCTGCACAGCTCACACAAGGGAGAACCACGTAATTCCAGCTCTGAAACCCAGACATGGGATTGAAACTAGCCCATGGAACCCAGCACTTCATTTTTTCCACTATCTGTGAAACCATGAACATATTCTACAAAAAGTACTACATCCCTTTAAAAAGACATTCATGTTAAGAGCATGAAGTTTTGTTATATAAATAAGGTGAGATAGTAAGTTAGTAAACAATTGTGAATCTAACACTTGTATCAATCAAACTGGCTAGATGTAGCTTTTCCTCTTCTCTCCTATGAAAAGATAGTTGCATTATTCTAGAACTTGTTAAAAGGCTTACATCTCTTTATAAAGCCACATAAGTCATAGTGATAGATTCTGTAGCTTATTTTTTTAAACATGGTATACTACACTTGTTTTGAAAACTGTGAGCAGAAAAGAAATGTACAATACCCCAGACTTGGCCACCAGCACTTCAGGTAGCGACAAAGCTACTCAGTGTTCGTTAAACCATCCTCTAACCATACAACTAAAGAGAAAACAAATTAAAAAATAAAAAAAAGTGGGGATTCATGTGGGTTTGAATTATCAGGGAATATCACAATCTCTAATATATTCATTCCCCTGGAAAAAAGGGAGGTTTTGTAAAGGATAAAGCAAGGACCAAAATGATAGTTTTCGAGTGATGAATTACTAGCAGTCAACAGCAGATGAATAAAAATCTGTTGGCAGACATGACAAGATTTAATTACTAGCAATGGTCAAGCCATAAGAAGAAGAACAATATATTTGAAAATATGACAAACAATTATACATTTATCCCATCTAGTACAAACATTGCACATCTAGCCACTCAAGGCATTTTATAATGGCCTTTCAATTCATACTCCTGAAAGAAGTATTTTTAGTTCTTCTGAAACACTCAGCTGAGTAAGTATAAAACCATTCACATATTGTAACCAGCTGTCATTCTCAACTACACAGTATCAAGGACTAAATTATTTCAGCAATGCTCAAATCTATCAAGTTCTGCCCTCAGATTCTGAGTGCCGTTTTGGCTTGTAATGAGACCTGTCACTTCCAGATTTGAATTTATTTTCTTATTCAGTCATCTTTTTTTCAAACAAAAGTGGTTGAAAATACACAGCCTCTTTTCTGAGGTAGCTTCTCTGGTGTAATTGAAGAAGATTCTCCAAGGAGTTGACCTTTTCAAAATTCAGTTCCCTGCAAATGTCTGTCTTCTGCTCTCCAGAGGAATCTCTGAACCTTGGAGAAAACAAATTGCTTTTAGTCAGTGTGACTCTCAAGCTTCTGGATACAGCTGAGGTGAGAAAAGTAACTAGTGGTTTTAGATAACAAGACTGCTGAAATACAGAGGTGGGCAGTTCTCATTAAACATATTAATGAGATTAAAATTAAATTTAGGTCACACAAAAACAAACAGTAAGCCCACTGTATAGTCTTTCACAGGTGTGGAGTCTGACTGATTTTCCCTGCCTTGCTCCCTGTGAATAACAAGAAAACGAGTAGGAAGACCGTACTAAAGACCTGAGCTGGTGGCCTTTGCCAGTGATTTTTACAAGAGATCTTGAGTGAAGAAACAGAATGTGGAAAAGGCTAGATCCTACCTGGAGCACTCAGCCAGGAAGATAATGTTCATCACTTGCACAGTATTGCTATTCATATGAACTCACACAGCTTTCAACAGCCTGTGACAATAGAGCTTTATAACTCAGCAAGGGAAATAAGCTTTTTGCTGGTACACCTAAGGCTGCACCAGCTACATAAGCACAGCACGGGGCAACAGATGAGTGAACTTGGCATTTGATGCTTTGAAAATCCCACTGTCGGTCCCTTGGGAAGCTGGAGCTGTTGATGAAAGGCAGTGTAATTATTGGCACTGGGTTGTACAAAGGTAACAGCATAAAAACTTAACATTCCCCAGAAGAAATGAAGGTGTTAAAATAGCAGCTGGGTAAATACCAGATAATGAAAGAAAGCAGCATGAGTTCCCCAGGTTCAAATAAGGCAGACAAGTATTTTGCAGAACTGACCTTATTAAAGAAACATTATCACTTTAAAAATTCATCTAAACCCGAAACAGTTACAGTAATCGGTGAAGATAAAAGTTACCTATTAAACATAACAATTATTTCCACCAAAGTGTCAATGTTTTTACTTCCATTTTTACATTTTTCTGTAGTGAAGTGCTAGGTCCATATAGATATTCTCACTTTTGTTTACAACACAGTGACTTTGACATAGACAGTGTCTCCCAGAACATCCAGTTATTCACTCTTGGTACGATTTATTCTTCATTAGGCTTAGCATATGTATTCTACTTCATAATAAATTAATATACAATACCAATGTTAAAGAAATTAGATTTAAATTTATGATAGGAAATCTTAACCCACTTGTTTTACAGAAGCATTTTCACCTCGATCACTGCAGGACGTTTTTAGTACATCTTCCCTAAAATATTTTTCATCATGTGGGATCATTTTTATTAAAAAAAACACCAACCTTCAAAATGTAATCTTTTGAATAAAAGCTTGACAGAGTCAGGAATATGTATTGCATGCAGATCCAGTATCTAGACATCCCAAGCCAAAAATACAGCAAGGTGAACAGAAAGATGGATTGTGGATAATGCTGAGGAGCCTGTACATAACTAAGCTTCCTGAAAATGCTGAACCCTGGGCACAAAGGCTGTTAGCTGCAAGCTAACATTACTGAAGTACATGTTGAAAAAATTATAACAAAAGCTACAGTTCATTAGTTTAGCATGGAGAATAATTTCTTCATTAAAATTTACCATTACCAGTAAGTTGTTATTTACTGTACAGATTAAAGCATCATTGTCCAAGGACAGTTACTTTTGCTTGTTCTTTGTATGTTTTAGCTCCAATTGTTTCATGTTGAGGGAAGACAACAGTGCAATGGAGATGGGAGTACACAGGGAACTGTCAAAGGCAACAGGAGAGACAATGAACTTCCAGGGTAACACAGTTCATTTGGACAATGTTTCAAGTACTGAAGACTTAGCCCTTTATTACTTCTTGTACTGATGACTGTGAAGCCAAATGAGATGAATTTGAACGGTTTGTCCAGCACACACATTCTCTGAGAGACTTAAAATAAGTGTAAATAAGTGAAATAAGGATGGTAATACCTATGGCACACACACACAAAACTGCACAATCAACAGGAGGTTCTCTGAGTGACTCAAAGCTGAATGTAAGTCAACTCTCTACTGAAGTGGGCTATTTCCTAGTTAGTACTTCTTTCACAAGGCACAAGAGATGTTAAGATCTGGATGTTTCTTTGAATATGTATTGCATGATGTGAGAGTGACTCATAGGAGGGAGTGACTTTCCCTGCTAGAATAGTTACAATCACTGAACCGCTTCAAATTTGTGATGAGGTATGAGAGAATTACAAATCAGCTTTCTATTGCTAGACATAGAGATTATCTATTAAGGATAATAAATTGATATCACCATCAATATTCAAATTTGCATTTTAGCATTGCAACTATTAGAGCTATTGGCCTCCATGTCTTATCTGTGATGAGTTACTGTCATTTCCCTCTTACATGGTAACAGTGAAGAGTCTGGGCTTGCAAAGAAATCCTGGAAGGGACTGACATTCAAGAAGGTACTTCAGCTTTCAAGTGTTCCTTGCAGCCATGAGCAGTCCAAGTTTTCCAAGTGCTTTCTTGCCTAGGGCCAATTGCTTTCCTGCCTCTTTCTGAAACACCTGAGGCTCCTCCTGTACAGCTCTGGCCCAGTTCCAAGGCAGACCCTACTTTTAACCCATCTGTGCCAAGGGGATGAAATACCAGACATAGTTAAAACAACAACTCTGAACTCCCACAACCCTGACAGACTCCTCTTTCTGTGACAGCAAATACTTACATGAAAAGATTGAAGAATGCAATCAAATAATAATTAGGACTGTCAGTCTAATTAATGCATATACTTTCTAATGCAGTAGTGATAGGAAACACTAATTGTTGTTTACTGTGGGATGAATATTTAAACTTGTCAGAGAAGTGGGGGAAAAAAGCCAACTGCAGATACATGTATATTGTAACATTTTAATTTTTTAATAATATGGCAATAAAAAGGCACAGAAGATATGTACAAGAAAAAATATAAAATATATTATGACAGTATAATATACCCCAGAGCATAGCATTCAAATACAGTTACAGCCCCCTCAAAACAGGCTTGAATAATATGAAATATTAACAAATACATGTGGTTAATTTAATTAGCTTTTTCTTGTTCTTCTTTTTAGGATTCATATTTATAGGATTCTTCAAATCAACTAGACAGGTTTAAAAATTAACTCTTATTCTTATCAATTTAGAGAAATTCAGAAATAAGAATTTCAAAAAACCTAAAATTGTGAAAATTGGCAGCACTGCAATCAAAAGAGCTTCTGAAGGAATTATATGCCCATTTACATTTTTCACTTTCCTACTGAGCAAATGTTTTGACACTGCTTCACCAAGAAAAAGACTGTAAAAATTTAATAGTTTGGAACAGTAGCCACACTCACAGCTGAACTGAAATAAGTTTAGAAAAAGTGAAATGCTGAAGTTACTCCAGGATGTAAGGCTAAGTACACAAATATATACTAAAGATCTGGACTACCAGCTGTCACTGTGGAACACAGACTGCAGAAGTAACATGCAAAACCTATTAGGAACACAATGTTAAACAGTGAATTAACTAGAATAACATAAAATCAGAGAACAGAGGACATGTGGTTCATCTCTTCATGTCATCTGCTATACTGCAGCTTACCACAAAAATATAAATACAAGAATAGTAAATCAGTACCTACCACGTACAATAAATAAATTTTCTGTTTAAATTATGAAAATACAGCTACAGTAAAATCAGTGCAAAAATGACCAAAATGTAATGAAGGAACACAAAATCCTACCTGCCAAAATGTGCATCATAGAACATATTATGTGCATCATAAATGTGCATCATAGAACATCATATTTCACCTAGTGCAACAAAGCACTTACAAGAATTAAAAAATGCAAGATGCATGCACATCACTAACTGTGCCATTCTAAAATTACATCTATTTCCAATACCAGACAAATCACATTAAAACAGCACACGTTATTTGAGCTGTACATTTCATTCTTCCTCATCATTTTACTGAATTTTAAATAACTTCCTCTTCCCTAATTGACACCTTAAATGGAAGTTGCTCTTATGAGTCTGTGTTTGCACGAGCAGCCTTTTTAGAATTAAGAAAGTTCTTTTTCTTTTTTCTTGGAAAATTATGCAAAGCAAGTGTTGGATCACTTGGCTCACGGAACAAAAATATCTTCTCCCCTATGTCTAACAGCTCTATGGCTTCAGCAGCTGCAGAGTTCAGAGAAACAGATGGACCAGGCTGTTCCATAGGAGGATGTGCAGGTGAACGTCCCAGATGAATGAATGCTGCTTTTTCCAAGAGAGCAAGTTGCTTCTTCTTTATCAAGCTACATTAATGAAAAAAATTGAGTTGAAAAGTGAAAACTGAGGCAAAAAATTAATAACTTCCTATATGATACCTTGGCACAGAAGTGGTGACTTTGGAAACTAAAGAAAATAGTATTTCAACAGAGAGAAATGCAGTTTTCCTTCTAATCCCCAAAAATTCACGGATCATTTTCTGAGATACAAAATTGCAAAAGGAAAGGTAATCTTATAATAAATAATTATAGGAAAGATGAGCAATGTATGTAAAAATGTAAGAGTTTTGTGGATATGTACAGAAAAATCTTTTCAGGTATTTACTACACTGCTTATTATGTGTAAATATGTTGTAGGAAACAGAAGCACTAAATAGAACAGTGCTAGAAAATGTGTACTTATGAACTAATTTTCTGATTTCAAACAGCTGTAAGAAGAATCTTGGGACATTAAATAAACAAAAACTATAAACAAAAATAACCCCCAGGTATGCTTCTTCTGGTTTTCTCCTTACCTGTCTTTTCTCCTGTTTAGAGAAGGGATCTTCTCTAAACTTCTGTTTATCAGATCTTGCCTTATTTTGTTCTCCAGTGTTTGCCACAGCTCTTGGCTCTTCCTGAAGGAGCAGGAAAGAAAAATTACAAGTAGCAAATCCCAAATGCACACATTTTTCTCCCCTCTCTGACTTTAGCTACCAAACCCAGGACAGCAATACCACAAACGCAGTCAATAAGAGTGTTCAAGTATTTTTGCTGCCCTGCCACAAATAATTTAAATCAGCTAAGATCACACCTCAGGGCATGATACCAGGGACTCTTCTCTGTTCCTTGATAACCCACATCTGCCAACAACAGGGCTCAGTACCACAAGGTCTGCTTTTGTCTCCTTCCCAAGTCATGGCAGGGAGTTGGGAAAGCAGGTCCAGGGGCATCCCTTGGTGTTACTGCACAGATTTCAGCTCATGTTAATGGGGCTGAAGGGGAGTGATGAAGGCCCTGAGAGTCTACCAGTCTGTGAGAGAAGGGAAACACAACGGCCACTTGGAACTTCAGTAATTAACTACAAAGGGACAGACATCTGCAGGGCTGCAATTTCCACTATCAGGAAGGAAGATCGCCTTTACATCTTTAAGAGCTACAGACACCTAAAACTGAGTGTGTTATGAACATTATTTTAAAAAAGAAGTGGAAAAAATATTTTAACAAACTCCAATTCAGACAACAGAGAGAAAATTATCAGAACAGGATTTATAAATCTATGAAATAACTGTTTAATTAATGAACTTACACATTTTTTTAAACTTTTAATCAATTTATTATAGTTAAAACATTTCACAAAATAAAGTAGCGGTTTTAAAATATTTTTACCCCAGAGAAATAGTTCTAAAGGAAACTTATCCGCCTGTGATTTTTTTCTGTAGCTTTCAATCTCATTGTCCAGCAAATACATATACACATAAAGCAACAATCTTGTCTTGCAGTGGTCTACCAGAAAACATCACACCTACCTTTTCTTACAGCTGCCAGACTCATCTGCATTGCTGTCACTTTCAACAACACCATCTGAGTATTTACTGATGGAATCGAGGACAGAAATGACCTCACTTTGTGAGCTGGAGGGCAGCAACAAGTTCAGGACCCTGTGCAACACTCCCATTGGTACCCTCATCAGTTTAGCTAAATATCCTGCCAGACGAAGTTCCTAGAGGATTAAATGAGCAGAAGACAGATAAATTTAGCATTGGAAATAAATGTTAGCCAATCTTAATTACTGTTATTAAATAAAGAGTCAGTAAGGAAAAAAAAAATTACTAAAGATTATTCTAGTAGAGACAATTTTGGTATCAAGTGGCCACACTTCCATGTTCACTGTTTCTACCCACAGTGGCCCATGTATATCATAGTTGTCCATTTCATTTGGGAATTTGGCAATGTAAATGCTAAATAATCAACTGATCTTGGCATATTTGCTTAGGGCATGTATTTGATGCCCTTTGGTCTGAAAAATCACAAGGTCACAAAGCAATTATATTCTAACATATAAGGCTTAACTAATTTATGGATTCTACTACTATAAAGAAATCCTTTCAAGATAGTAAGGAAGCAATATGGCATTCCTTGGTCTGTAAAAGTACAGAGGGAAAAATAGTCTTGGAAAGTTTTACACGTTGTTATGGTAGATCAACTCATTGTTCAGCTTCTCTTAACACCAGATTCTGTGATAAGCTCAGAGAACAGCTTCTAACACTTGTTAAGAGGTGAAGGAAAACACCTGCTTCTCTTTTGGTAGTGTTTCTTTAATTCCAAACGTCTTGCCCATTTTTGCCCAAAGGTCAGTAGTAAAGTATATTCATATAATGTTCAAATAGACTGAGTTCAAATTTAGTTGTTCCATAGACACTCAGCCAGCCCCATTTCCTGCCCCACTCCAAAAACCAAAATCCATTGCTGTTTTCTGCTCTGTCGTCATAAATACAATGTCCCCAGGGTGTTTCTGCAGATCTCTCATGTATCAAATATGAAAAGTCTACAATACATTGAGAACTACACGGAAAGTAAAGAGTAAGGCAAATGAAAGCAAGTTAAATGTCTCAAACTATGCCAGAAAAAAAGCTGTTGTTGTCTATTCAAGCCATGAATATAACTCAGGTAACTGAAGTTAGGTAAGACATGCCAAACAGAATGACTCATGACAGCTGAGTTATCACCACTCTGCAGACTCTCCTGTATGTGTTGATGCAGGAGATGACCACAAAGCCCATGTCACATAAAAAAAACCACAAAGTCCCACCATGCAGGAAGACAGCCAGGTTCTTTGTCCACAGTGGTTTCAAAGAGTCACAGCAAATGTTTGCCTCTTTTTCTGCATGACAACTTTTCAGAGGAGTGAATTCACCTAGGAGATCCCTGGATTAACTGAATTGTCTTTGAAAGAAAGCATCACCAGCAAGGCAGTCTTAAACCAAATTTCGACAGGCACACAAAATAGAGAAATCACTCAACCTCCTTTTCCCATAATTGTCCTTGAAGCAGAGAATTCTCTCCAAAAGGTAAGAAAACCAGCCACTTTCTAAAGTTTTCTGGCCTCTTCAGTGTTGTTATAGATTTTCCATGGAAACCACTTAGATCACACAGAATTAACAAGACAAAATCCTAAGACTGATGAGAGATTAGTAAATTGGTACAGTTCTTAAAATATTTTCAGCCTGACCAGGCACCAAAGTTGAACACCAAAGAGATGTTTGCTGAGGCTACTTAGCAAAAGAAATTATTTGATTTTTTCTTTGGAGACGAATGCAAATAAGAGCTTAAATCTTAATACAGACACCTAAGTAATTTCTATACTACTGTGTTGTACTTCTGGTCTTTAAAAACTGTTCTTCTAGAAACTTACAAAATGCAACATTAAGTGAGAATAAACATGACGATCTCTGAGACCTATTCTGCTCTTTTTGGCTAAATGTTCTAAGGACCTTTAAACCAGTTATTTATTATGGATATATATTATTACTTTAGTTCTTCTTTCTTCTGTAACCGTTTCCTCTTTAAAATGTTCTTTTCTCTGACTCTTACCTTTCTGCACTAAGTACGACTTGGACTGAGAGGCAAACCTTAATACTTTTCTAGCACAGCAGAACTGACAATTAAGCAATTCTGCAGGGTGCCACAAGCTGTCATCAATCCCAGAAATGGCACAGGTGCCCATCAGGTAGATGCACCTGGCACATGTACAGCAAAGGGACTGCTGGTATGTGAACATGTGCCAGCACTGAGCATCATTTTTACCTCACAGCTACCCAGACCAACTCGGAGAAGTGGAAAGAAGTGAATGGGTGTGCAAACACAGGAATGGTCAGATCAAAAACCCTCCAGCATGGAATGAGTTTGATTCTTCAGGTGTATTACTGGTAAAATATCACAAGGGTCAAGAATTCACTTTTCTATAATAACAAATGGATATAATTGCTACTTGTGGCACCAATAGACTCATTTGTATTCCCAGAATATCGACAAATAAAACCAGGAATGAATGGTAGACTACAAACAGCAGAATTGTTTTTAAGTATTTGGACTGAGCAATGTGTAAACAACTGATGCTAGAATCAATGAACTCCAGTCATGCTGTGTTTCAAGCTTCCTGTGCTGTTTCCACATGCCAGTCTGCCTGCATCATCTGTTGGAGCTAAAATGCAGTTAGTGTACCTGGGGCTACAGCTATGGGTTTATTCAAAAGTAACATCTCAGCCAGAGGCTTATGATCCTGAACTCACTATCATTCAAGCAAATCTCTTATTGACCTAGATCTGTCTTGATAAGGATGTAAGCTGAAATATGAAATATAGGAAAGTAAAATTTACCTGGTTTTTTTAGAGGGTGCCATCTACAGCTCTGAAAACTATAGTCTAATGGGGAAAATCCTCTTTAAAGAAAATAATGAGTATAAGACAACTATAGTTTCCTAACATTTGTCAATGTAATGTGTTCTATAAATTTTAAGAAAACAGGGAAAAAAATGATTTAAAAACCAATTTCCAGCATCAGCTCACAGGATAAGCAGATCCAAAAGTAGGACTTGTTACATCATGAGCCTTAATAAATGAGTAAGTTCATATTCTACTAAGGATATACTTCTTTACTGTTGAATAAAGAGTAGTCAGGTTTGGAATTATAGTTGGGAGTTGTTATACTATTATACTTGCTGAAAACGAATTTTGCTTTCTATATCTGAAGGGCTAATACGTATAGGTTTTATGGAATTTCAATAAAGTAAGGGTACCTCTGGGCTACACTTTTTATGAAAAATACAAACACAAAACCCCCAATGGGATATTTAATGCAAATTTACACAAATAAATTATTTCTTCAGGGAATTTTATCAATGAAACATAAAGCACAGTATCCCAAGTACATGGTGAACCGTGTACCCAGTTTTGCAAGTTCAGTGAGGTGACTGAATTTAAAAGCAATGCTTTTAAATCTGTCTTCAACATGTCAAGATTTACAATCTTTAAGAATCATTGTTCACCTACTACAGTGCAAAGAGGACAAGGTACTGTGAAAATGATGACACTGTTTGCATGCTTATGTAATCTCCAAAACAATGATCTCGACTTGCAATATACATGCCATGTTGTTGAGAAGCCCTTTCACAATGTATATGCATCACAGAAACTTAGCAAGCATCATGGGGAGAAGACAAATCACCATAAGCCAAGGGGAAATAAATGGTCAGTGATCTGCTACACCACTCAAACTCACACAAGTCTGTGGGGCTGGGTGGGATTGAGCAACCTGGCCAAGTGGTCACGGGGGTATTTTCTATCACTTACCAGCAGTCCTGGCTAACTGGAGGGGTGCCAGTTGACTGGAGGTTATCAAGTGGGACACCCATGAGCCCAGAAGGGCTAGGAGGATGTGGGGAACCAGATGCCTGTCAGCCTGACCTCAGTGCTTGGCAAGGTTATGGAACAGATCTTTGGAGTGACTCGTCAGAAACAAACTAAGACAGAAAAGCTGAGAGATCCTTAGACTAAAGTGGTCTTCCCTTGACATGGTGGTCTCTGAAGCTCCCAATTCATGATAGAGGGGACTGTGACCACACTTGTCCCTGGGAGGCAAGATACTTGAAAGCTGCTCCACCAGGTCTTTTTTGATGCTAGCTACATATCTCAGCCAAGACCAGCCTGCAGATAAAAATTGGGGTCAGTCAAGAGATTCATTATTAAGGCCTTTGTAGGACTGACAAGCAGTCAACACACAGCAAATTACCTGAAGACAAGACTCGTTTTGAAAATAAGCATGAGTAATGATACTAGAAAATTTAACTAGCAGTATCATTTAATTTTGAAACATAATCAATGCAAATCATTCTTAACACTCATCAAAATCTAAACAAAACCTTTTTTCATTACACCAAAATCCAACTGTAAATCTGTCTTCTGTTAAACAGAAAATCAGGCACTTCAGCTCTCCACAGAATGAAATGCAACAGGACAAAGACTGAAAGGATTTGTAAACGAACAAAAAGAAGTATAACTCAGTAAAATTCAAAAGGCTGAAAGTAGCTCAGAATTAACTGAAGTGACTGACAGTATAGGCTGCAAACTGGTACCAACTACTAGCAGAGAGTACCTCTAAATACATCTAATGGTTCCCAAAAAAGAAAAGCTGATACCCAGATACAGCTGTAATTCAAACTTGGAAGCTTTGTTCAATTTCATGCTTACCTGACTATAAATTGCCAAAAATGCATTCGTTTCTATATTTTCCAGGAGATCTTCAAGCACCACGCAATTCCATTGCTCATCTCTCAAGCTGAAGTGAAAGACAGAATTAACTTTGAACTCTTCCCAGGTGCAATGACTGTATTATAGAAAACAAAATTTGAATGCTAACCATTTGGAAAGCATATCTGTCTGTCAGCAAATCTGCTGTGAGCCTAACTTCTAAAATATGCCAGATTCTCTTCCCTTCTTTCCTGAACCCCAAACATCAGAGCAGAATCTAAGGCTATGCTCTTGCACACAAATCAAACTGGAATCACTCCAAAGCAATGTGATTCAAGCTGTCCTCTTCCTCTTCCCTCCTCTTTAAATTTCATCATCATGCTTTAAGGCAAGTTGTGGATCTTTCTGTAGCTGAAATATTATATTAAACAATTAACTTTGTCATTGCTGGTGATTATTTTTCTTTTCTAGACCAAAACATGATGACATCACGTACAAATCGTGCAATGTACAAAAGTACAAAACTTGTTTCTTCCAGTAAGTTTTCAAGTAAATCCTAGCTGCAGTTTCTTTGAAGGCTTCCCTGATAGGTTACCAGCTTGTCAATACTGGTGCAGAGATTTATCTGATCTTCTACTGACTCTGTACTTCTGCAACAGGAAAGTTATTAATCTAAACTGAGTAGAGCTCCAGCCTTTTCAGAATTAAAACAGACTTACCACTATCACAGCCATTTTTAATGTATCACTGGTTTTATGGAAAACTCTCTTTCTAATGGAAAGCATACTTTGAGGATATTACCTGAAGCTTGAAATGTGCTAGGCTTTTAATACTGTGCAATACACATGGAAATGTAATTTCTACCTCCTGTAACCTTAATAAAAGTAATACAATAGGTTGCAATTTTGCAAATTATCACCCATTTTTGCTAGTCAGCCATTATGACAAGACAGATATTTCTATATTTCTCCCAAGAGGCATTTTATTTGTCACTGATATCTTTACTTAAAAACTGGCCAGGGAAAATTGAAGAGGAGTTTATACATCTCATCAAAAATAATTGTGTGCCAGAGAATTCAGGCTACAGTATAACAATGGAGATGGAAATTCAATTTAAATTGTCTCAGCTATTTCCTCTGACCCCAGCAGATCATGTTGTTCTGAAGTCCCTCCCTATCTTCTTGGGAGACAAAGCAAGAGGAATGAAATTCTTTTCCTCCTTAATGCTAAGGAGTATCATTATTTTTTCACTATCTCTGTCAAAAAAATGGTGACAGCCACACAACACACAGCTCAATTTATATGCTACTAAGTTATTATTATTTCATGTTTCATATTTCAATATTCCTAACTCCTCAGTTAAGCTCTTGGCCACAGCACAAGAAGGCAGATGCATGGTCCTGTGCTGGGTTGACCTGGGAAGAAGAAACTCAGAGAGAAGTTCTCTTTATGGGGGTTTCCTCTGTGGGTTGATTGGGACCATTGAGGGCTGGTTTAGTTATTGACAGCCTCAAGAGCCAATGGGAGAAAGTTAGTTCGCTCTGTGAACACACATTTTGAAGGAGGCAATCCGGAACTGAGTCTTTTTTTTCTTTCCAGCGGCAGTGCAGGTAACAGGCTCCGGCCTGCGGGCCTGGCAGGGGCAGGGTCGGGCCCCCTGTCTGGGGACTGGCATGGCCCGGCAGCGAGGAGAGGTGGCCATGGACAGTGGCCAGGGAGACTCAGGCTGATTTAAGATCCCTGCCGCTTTTCCCCCCTCCTTTTCCAGCATGGCCGGCTTCTGAGATCCTGGCAAAGCTCCAACATTGTAGCCTTGGTTTTTTTCTTTTCCCTGTGCAAAATCTTAACTCTTTCAATGCTCAGATAAGACTTGAAGACTTTTCAATCCTCCCCAGAGTGAAAGGGAATAAGGAGATATTCTGAAGTCAGTGAAGCAAGAGCTAAGTCTAAGTTTCTATAGATGGAAGGAGAATGAGGAGATGCTGTGAAGATGGCTGAAACGTCCTTTTGTAAGATTGTAGGGATGAACTGATGTACTGAATATTCCTATAAACCACAGAGAAAGACATGGGGGGTTGGAGATGTTCCATTTGATAGATCATTTTGACCAAAAAGCACCTGTGCTGAGAATCTTTTGCCCCGCATGGAAAGAAGGGAATCTCGGTTTTCTGAGGATGAAGCATGAACAGAGAGAAAAGAGATGAAGAGAACTTTTGCTTTGGAACATTTCATTCTTAAAAGTAATACCCCATGAGTCAGACATGGCCCCACATGCACAGCTCTGGGAAGGCTGTGGAGTTGGGAGAAGTGTCACGATTGCAGGTCTGGGAGGATGCAAATCATGAAAATGAAACCATGAGAGGACTGTTTTATTCTTCCTTGTGGAGGGAGAAAAATCCCTATGGCCTGACAAGAGGAAACTTCTCTCTCGGAAGTGAGCTGAAAAAGGACTATTGGAGTTGGGAACTGACTAAAGTAGTTTTTTGTATGTTTGTTTTGTTGTTATGAAGGTTGGGAGAGGGAAGGAAGAAGTGGTCTGAAAAATCTTGTTCTGAATTTGGTTTTTTTTCTTGTGTAGTTAATAAATTTCTTTTTATACCCTTTTAAGTTTTAGGCCTGCCTTGCTTCTGCTCCTGGTTCTGTCTCACAACAGAAAATGAGTATATTTAAATTTACAAATCAAAACCATGACATTATTTGGTATGTTGGCCAGGAAATTCAAATTAAATGAAGGCAATTTTTTGGGAAATTAAATTAAGCCAAGAAACGTCCCTTCCCAACACAGCAGAACATTCCTCCTGCTGTTTCTCCAAAGTATCTTATGGTCCATATGAACTGCAGAAACATAGTAAAACCTGAGACCAAAGAACTTACCTTTGCTGGTACAGGTTTATAAACTGTCTACATTTATTCATGGCCTGTTTTAACAGGACTGTCACGTGTCTTTCTGCACTGGTGTCCACAGCTTCATTTGAGAGCCCCAAAACATCCAGAATCCACCTCTGCCTATTCATTAGATGCTGCTGTGCCGACTCTTTATGCAGCATCTCATACTCCAGCTTCCTGTCAAGTTCTTCAATCTCCTAGAGGTTGAAAACGCATGATGATAAGAAGTTAAATTATAACTTGAAAGAACAAATTTCATTTGGAGTGAAGAAAAAAGTTGATGGTATCAGATTTTCTGATATTACTTTATTCATTTCTTATTCTACCCAGCCACTTGCAGTCATTACACTTTTCAATTCATTGCACAACTTCAGTAAACATGACTGGCACGTTATGAATATCAGAACAATGAGGAAAGCTATGACTCAATTTTCTTTGTGTTAAAAGTCAACGCTCTCTGAAACCTTCCACTGTAGAGGACATCCAGCAAGTACACTGCCATGTGGCTGAGATCAAAACTAAGGAACACCACCATTCAAATTCATTTGTAAGTTACATAAAACCACTGAAACAGCTTGAGAAACGCATAGTAACTAGTTTTAGTTATACTAGTTTTAGTCATATCAAATTAACAGATAATATCAAAGGAATTTAAGTTAAAAGGCAGTAATTAATAAATAGTCAGATAAAGTTAGAGTTAAAATAAAATGCTCTGAAAATCACAAGGTTAAAATCCAAAGTCTTCAGGGTATTGGATCCCCCATGCTAAAGTTCTCACTTTGGTCAAAAAATCAAACTAGACACCAGAAGTAAGGCTTCATATTTCCATTTCCAATGTCACTGTTGTCTCACCTCAACCTTTACATTGCTTACTATCTCAAAGCCCCACTTCCTAACATGTATCTTGGAGAAAATGCTGAATTTTAATCTATTCCTCTACCTCATCAGCTGTATTTAACCTAGTGTTAGCTATTCTAGGTCTCACTTCTGCCCCTTCTTCAATCCTTTTTCTTCACCTGTTCAAGGACAGAGACAGTAAAAGCAATTTCTCTGAAAAGCCCCCTCATGACTATGGCATAAAAGGCAAAAATACTCTTCCTACATACAACTTTCACTATTTCCTACAGATCTAACACAAATTCAAGCAAAACTGAGGCATATAAGCATTCTAACTGCCACTCTATGAGAAACTGTAGATATGACCACATTAAAATTTAACAAGGAATTTTCACAGCAGTAGCTGTCTAATGATGCCCTCTAGCAAAGAGGTTTTTCTCAAAAACCCATTTTGTTTGTTCTACTCCAGTGCTCTCTCCAAGCCTCACTTGGATGGTTTCAAATAGCAGATGCAGGAAAAAAAATGTCCTTGTGCAAACGGAGCACTGAAGTATTAAAAAAGGATTAGAAAATTGGCACATATCAAGTGTGTAATAAATATGGTGAAGGGAAGAGGTTTTTCCAGATTTTCTACTATTTAAACTGCATGAGTGTGCCTGGAGTGAGATATGTAGGAGGCTGTACAGATAATCTCTAAAAACTTGACAACTGAAGCATATCATGGGTTATGGATTTTGCATATGGACAGCATTATAGCATGAGCACTTCTGTAAGACAGACACAACAATTTACTCTTCCAGTCATGAGTCCAAATCACTTCTCAACTGTCTTTCTTTCAATCAATAAAATACTAAGTAGCCACCAAAATACTACACTTTCTGACTGCATGCAACTATAACAAAAATAAAAAATAATAATGCATTATCTTCCTTGGCTCTCCTTCCCTTTATGTCTTTTACTGAATGCATTAAAGTGCACATACTCACAGAAATTAAAGTCTGGGCCACCAGAAGCTGCAAACCAGCAGCTAAATCAAAGATACTCCAATAGTTCTTATTTCCTAACAGTATTTTTTTCTTTTAACAACTACATTACTTACAGGATTATGTGCTTCTAAAATCTGAATGCATTCCAGTTTTGACAGGGTTTTTGACGTGTTCAGTTGTTCAAAGAGCAAAGCTTGCACATTTTTGATAGCAGTATACAGCTCCAGCACTTTGGATTTTTTAACAGTCTTCTGAAAGGCTAAAGAAGCAATATACTCTCCAAGTTTATTTTCCAGATTGCGCAGGTGACGCTCTTTTTCAAGCTGCAGCTCATACTTAATCTAAAAAAACAACAAAAAAACCAAAACACAAAAGACAGAAGGATTAACAGAAACTCTTACATGCACACTTATGATTTTAGTACTCTGTAATTAACAAGCAGGATTATGACAGCAAAGAAATCAATACTGTTATCTTATAATGTAATACACTGTTTCAAGAAGTGCTTTTAACCTTCAGTTCCAAGCTTTTACTGTAATTTAAAAAATTACAGTACAGTCAAATACTGTAAAGAGATCAGGCTTTCTTTTAGGGTAGTCAAAACTCTAATATAAAATGCTAACCCAAAACAGAGGGTCTATATAATTTTATTATAATAAAATTAAAAGCTAGAAATACAAATAAATCTATGGTTACCTATGGTTAAATGGAAAGATTAAATATGCCCTTTTGCTTAGAAAAAACATGAAACTTATAGACTGTATTTAGTTTCATTGGCAAGTGTCAGTAAATGCTGACTGATGACATTCAACCTACTATTCTTTGAGCAAAAAACGAAAAATCTTCTTAAATAAAACAAAGTTAAACTGTAAATCAAAAGTCTATTGGCAATGGATTTCAAATTAGATTAAAAACTGGGTTGGATCAACATCATCAAACAGCACAAAATCAAAGTGATTTAACTCAATAACTGTGTTGGTGCCACTCATTTGATGGAACATCCACAGGAACTATTCAAGGGTGAAAGGCAAGTGCAGCATGTGCAGGCACATGATCAATGCAGTGTGGCTGATGAGCTCTCCATGCTGTATCACTAACATTGACAGCCAATGACACTGCACTGTGACTATTCTTCTGGGGGACAGTGTGCATAGCAGCCATTACTGCTGCATAGCTGCAATTACCTTCTTTACATGCTTCCATCTGAGTTTGCCACTCTAAGCTCCCTTCACACTCAAAGAAAAGGAAAAGATGCTTCTCAGTGGGTTTCATATCCTAAAATAGAGGTTTCCACTGACATGTAAGGTGGATGTCTAGGTTAGACACCGATGGCTACACTGCATATCTAACATTTAGGTAGCTGAATCTTCAAAAGACAGTAAACAATTACCAGTTTGGTCTTATTCTTTCCCCTATTCACATGTACTATTTACATGGGCCTAAAGAGTTGGATTGTAAGAGAGAGAAGACACAGATAGGGAAAGCACATGAAGCCTTGAGAGCTCCAAATCCACTACCTGGTGTTGGTACCACCTGCTGCCCCACATGTCCATCCACACATACTGTTGGATATCAGAGCCCAAGGTTTTTCCTCATCCATCTCTAAATTCTCTCTTCATCCTGACAAATCTAATCTGATAGGTTTCGCAGCACACCAAAAAAACCCAAACCAACTGTAACCATATTCAGAAATCAACATTTTCAGAAAATTCCAGTACTATGTATTTTAACAGCAATGCTCAAATAACTACTGCCTGTGACAGAATAGAAGAGCCACAGTCATCAAAGGATGAATGTCAAAAGAACTTTTAATGTTTTGGCCAAGTTTACTACCACTGTGGCCTGAGAGAGCAGATACTCATATTTGCATTCTACTGAAAAGTGTTTATCCCATCAAGTTTGGCCTCTCTCTTAAAGAACAGGCAGAGATGAGCTTGACTATTTAACTGGGATATCTACATGGCTAGTACCTTAACACAGCAAGCACCCCTCTGTGCATGTAGTCAGTCTCCCTCATTTTACCAGTCTAAAAATAATGAAGATTTATAGTGATTGCGCTGTCAGTGTGAACTACAACACCAGAAAGATCAGCTGTAGTCCTTAGACACTGTATGACTTCCCACTGGCACAAAACCTAACTCTGGCCATCAGAATATCTTTGCACAAATCAAAATTATATGCACTGAAGACATTAAAACCTTAACAGCTATTCATGTTAATCACAATTATGTA